GACGTTAATTTAAACAATATTTTTAGTTCAGTTGGTCTTGTAACTCCTCCTGGAGGAAAAAGGAAACAAGTATTTAATGATTTATTTTCATTTGTTTTCTACATGTAAAAAATAGATTAACTATGAAACAAAAAAGGGGCATAGCTAATCAGGAGGCAGTCACTCCCGACTCACCTTGTCTCCAGCATCTGAAAATAATAGCTGTTGCATATTCCTCCTTGGGAACAAGGGCTAAAAAAAGTTGGGTGTCAACAACTCATAGCCTGATTCTTGCTATTTCAGCGTGTTACTATAGTTTGTATATGTGTGTGTGTGTTACTATATTTTGAATGAACATATTTTTCTGTCTATACAAATGAAAAGGAATAAGGTGCAGCTGAAATCTGTCCATGGAATGAAAAAAATGCTGATAATTATTACATCTTGGAAGCTTCTCAGACCATCTTGTCATACCAAAGTCCACCCTTATGATTTACATGTGGACTGAATTCCTTAAGGCGAGGCTTTTGCTTGTTCTTGCCTGTGTCACCTTAATTCTTGCCCCCCTGCTTCTTTATGCCTATTATTCCTCATCTTTCACAGAAGATTCTTTGAAAGTATAGTTAGCTGAAAATGTCAACATGTGCTAGAGGAGCAAAAAAAGGTTGGGGAAGGGAAAAGAAGGGTTAGATTTCAAAGATTCCATTCCAAAGATGCAATGATGACTTTAAACATCTTAGAGAGTTGCAGCCCTGTGAGAATCATTGAGCAGTTGGGGTTTTGTGTGTATAAAATTCTGTGGAAAGAGAGGAGGAGAGAGAGAAACAGTTGGTAGCCTTTGGTTTCATTGAAGAAGATAAACTTTCTTTTTAATCCCCTATATTAGGTTTTATCTTCTACAACCACACTCATGGCCGGGAGATGCTGGACATCTTTGTGCACCAGCTGCTGGTTTTGGTCGTCCTTCTGGCAGGCCTGGTCGCCTTCATGGAATTCCTCTTACCGGGCAATGTACTTCTGGAGCTTCTGCGTGAAAGCCTCATCCTGCTTCAGGGGACGTGGTTCTGGCAGGTGAGTTGGCTCCTGCAAGTAATGTACCTGGTATCTCTGCCTGTAATAGCTGTCTTTATCTGATGGGGCATTTTGCTCCAGACTCCAGAGAGTTCCCTGCCTGTAGTGAGAACATGGGCCTCTGAGAGGTGATGTTTCGTTGATAGTCTAGTGGCCCTGGTGGGAGCATTGTCAGCGCACCTGCACAGGAGGTGGGGTGTGTACATCCCCATCTGCCACCTGAGTAACCATTATATGTGAACGCTGAGCTGATGCTTTGGTTAGAAGCAGTTGCTGATGCTAAAGCAGCTGACAGCCTCATGGGTGATAAGCTTGAGAAATACATGGAAGGCAGGAAAGAGGGTAAACTATTAGTGAGAAACAACTATATGTCAGCCACTGCACTGAACTTTTCCATATATATTGTTTCCTTTTGTCCTCCCGTCCGATGAGGTTACATCAGGGATTTGCATTGCACGTGAGGAATGCTACGGAAGATCTGGTAAGGGAGAGAGACAGCCTCACTAAACAGGGAACAGGAAAGATGTGATATTTAAGCACATGGAGGAGTAGAAAGGCCGTTAGAACAGAGGCTAGTACAGACGGGCTGGCTTCAAGGGTTATTTTAGTGGAAAAAATTTTATAGGAAAAACATCTTAACAAATGCCCTATAATGTGATAAAATCAATGATTATGAATTCAACCAGTTTATATACAGAAGTTGTTTTGGGGAGCCTAAATGGGGCAAATAAACTAGTACATAAATCACTATATGTGCTCTGTATCTCTTAATTGGAATGTTTAACAATGTGCATGTATTCCCTATCCAGAAATAAAAATAAATCAAAAGGACTTTTTTTCTAACCAGAATCTCATTATGTCACCCTTGATAGGGTGCCGCATCACAGCTCGCAGCCACCTCAAACCCCTGGGCTTAAGTGATTCTCTTGCCTCGGCCTCTAATGTAGCTGGGACTACAGGTGCCGGCCACAATGCCCAGACTATTTTTAGAGACGAGGTCTTACTCTGGCTTAGGCTGGTCTGGAACCTATGAGCTCAGGCAATCCACCTGCTTCGGCCTCCCAAGTGCTCGGATTATAGGTGCGAGTCACCATGCCCACCCTTATTAAAAAGATTTTTAAAGAGACAACTTTTGATCAAGATGACACAGTTTATACCTCTCTGCTCCAACCACATAACAATGACAGATGAAATAGGAAAAGAAGCCTAGAAAATAAAAGAAATAAATTAGAAAGTAACAAATACCTAACTGCAAGAAAGCAAAACAAGTAAAACCAGGACAAAAAAAACTTGTAGGCTGGACACAGAATAGAAATGCACAGCAGGAATAGCAATGCACTTCCCTCTCTCCCCTCCTTCCCTCTTAAATTTAATTGTGTTTTTCTCTTTTGCGGGCCTGTAGTTGTTCATCTACTGGTTTCATGTTAGTGTTGAGTACATTGGATACTTGCTGTTCCATTCATGTGATACTTTACTAAGGAGAATGTTTTTCAACTTCATCTAGGTTAATACAAAAGATGTAAAGTCTCCATTTTTTTATGACTGAATAGTACTCCGTGGTGTACATATACCACAGCTTGTTAATCCCTTCAAGGGTTGATGGGCACTTGGGTTGATTCCACATCTTAGTGACTGTGTGCTGCAAAAAAATTCCAGTCCTTATGGTAAAATGATGTTTTTACCTCTGGGTAGACATCTAGTAACGGGATTGTGGGATCAAATGAAAGGTCTTTTTTTAGCTATTTGAGGATTCTCCATACTTCTTTCCATAGAGGCTGTATTAGTTTTCAGTCTTACCAACAATGCAAAAGTGCTCCCTTCTCTCCATATCCACACCAGCATCTGCAGCTTTGAGACATTGTGATGTGGGCTATTCTCACTGGGGTTAGGAGATCTTTCAAGGCGGTTTTGATTTTCATTTCTCTGATCATTAGGGATGAGAAGCATTTTTTCATGTGTTTGTTAGCCATTAGTCTGTCTTCTTCAAGAAGATTCTGTTTCTATGTCTCTTGCTCTTGCTTTTTTCTTGTTGGTTAGTTTTTCTCTGTAGATTCTAGTTATCAGCCCTTTTTCAGATTCATAGGATGCAAATATTTTCTCCTATTCTGAAGGTTGTCTGTTTTCTTCAGGTGTTGTGCCCTTAGCTATGCAGAAGCTTTTTAGCTTGATCATGTCCCATTTATTTATTTTTGGTATTGCCTAAATTGCAAATGGGGTCTTTTTTCATAAATTCTTTTCCCAGTCCAATATTATGAAGAGTTTTTCTCACACTTTCTTCTAGAGTTTTTATTGTTTCATGACTTAAATTTAAAATTTTTATACAGTGTTAATTTTGGTAAGTGGTAAGAGGTGCAGGTCCAGTTTCAGTCTGTTACAGGTGGCTAACCAGTAATCCCAGCACAATTTATTAATTAGGAATTCTTTTCCCTGGTTTATTTTTATTTGGTTTATCAAAGATCAGATGGTGATATGGGGCTTATTTCACCTCTAGGTTATCTATTCTATTGCATAGATCTATGTCTCTATTTTTGTGCCAGTCCCAGGCTGCTTTGATTACTATAGACTTGTCGTATAACCTGAAGTCTAAATGTGATGCCTCTGGATTTATTTTTATTTCTTAGAATTGCATTTGCTACTTGGTTTTCATTTCTGGTTCTATATGAAATGAAGTACAATTTCTTTTTCAAGTTCTTCAAAATATGATATTGGTAGTTTAATGGAGATTGCAATAAATATGCAGCTTGCTTTGGGTAGTAAGTACATTTTTACAATGTTGATTCTTCCTAGCCATGAGCATGGTATGTTCTTCCATTTTTTAACATCTGCTATTTCTATTCTCAGGGGTCCATTGTTCTCTCTATAAAGATTCTTCATGTCCTTTGTTTGTATATTTCCAGGTGTTTCATTTTCTTTGAAGCTACCATGAAGGGTTTTGTGTCTTTGATTTGATTCTCTGCTTGACTGTTGTTTGTGTATATGAAGGCTATTGAGCGATTTGTGAACACCGATTTTATGTCCCAAGATGTTACTGTATTTCCTGATCCCTTTCAGTAGCCTTGTGGTTGAGTCCTTAGAGTTTTCTAAGTGTAACATCATATCATCAGCAAAGACTGAGAATTTGACCTCCTCTGTCTGCATTTGAATCCTCTCGATATCCTTCTCTTGCCTGATTGTGTTGGCTAAACTTCCAGAACTATGTTGAATAGTAGTGGCGATAGTGGATATTCTTTTCTTGTTTTGGTTCTAAGTGGAAGTGCTTTCAGTTTTTCTCCATTCTGTGTGATATTGGCACATATTCTGTATGGTTTGTTGTAGAAGGCTTCTATCAGTTTAAGACGTGTCTCATCTATGCCTATTTTCTTAAGTGTTCTTGTCTGGAAAGGATGCTGAATTTTGTCAATTGCTTTTTCTGTGTCACTGGAGAGGATCATATGGTCTTGTTTTTGCTTTTATTTATGTGGTGAACTACATTCATGGATTTACATATGTTGAACCAACCTTTCATTCCTGGGATAAAGCCCACTGGATCATGATGTACAATTTTTTTCTAATTTAATTTCTGTGTGTTCAGAAAAATGTGTCTCTTTGAAATGTATTGGGACTTCTGTTACAATATGGCCCAGTGTCAAAGTTATAAATGTCTCATGTATTTGGAAAGAAAGTATATCCTTTCTTTTTTGAGTTCAGGATTGTACACGTATTTACTAGATCAAGTTTTTTAAAGAGCTAAATATTCAGAGAAAGAAAGTTAGACAATAAGAACAAGAGAGGAAACCAAACAAGAATTGAGGAAAGGAATTAAAAAGATAGGAGCAGTATTAATATTTGTAATTAATGTTTAGTTAAAAATTAATGATTAATGTTTAGGATTTGAGGGAGGGAGCTGTGGGCTATATCCTACAGAGAATAGGTTGGCTTAAGGTTGCCCTTTTTGAAATAATGTTTTATCTTTCCCTAAAAGCTTTTCTAAGGACAAGATTAAAGTCTATGGGCAGAAATCTGTGATTATTTAGAATTTTTTTCATCTACCAATATGTCTAGACTAGTTTCCTTTTTTACTTGGTAGCCAGTCTAAAAAATGTCTGCAGCCTTCAAGAATAATGAGCATTTAATACCAGTGTAAACACACTTACTGGCAGGAAATGAAAGCTTAGCCATAGCAAGTCTTTTACTCTTACCTTCCTCTAAAACAAAGATGTCTAGGAACTTAGGTGAATTTATTATACTTTCATGTTTTGTCAATGTGTATGGTATATGAATTGTTATGGCCAAAACTCTAACAACATTACATAGTGATTTGCTTTTCACTAGACTTTAACTCTTACTACTTCTCCACGTATGGTTAATATTAACACATAAACTATGTAATAGACCAATGCAGAAAATACCCATCTGGACTTTTGGAACTGTGTGTATGGAGATTGGAACTGAATAAAGCAAAGGCTTAGCCTGGCCACTTTTAATAACTTGTATATAAATGATTGGTTAATATGCAAATGGTGAAGGAATTTTCCTCCCAACTTATAAGAATTAGTTTCATTCCTGAATGATATTATAGTCAAAAATGGTTTCTCAATAACTTAGCCCCATCATGCAATTAAAAAAAGAAAAAGAAAAACTCCTTCAGGCCCCCTGTGAATCATGTTTTCCTTGTGACTGCGTGGGAGAGTATTTCAAAAGCTCACTTTGTACTCTGTCACTTCTGAGCTCCCGCCCATCGGTCATTAGAGCCCTGGGCACAGGGACAGTCCCAGGACGAGGAAGGTGCCCCTGGCTCCTGCTGTCTGTGCTGCTTCAGACTTCTGCACAGTTGCTTCCACTGCATCTCCCAGCTCCATCCATCCTCCCAGGCATTCCTCCCATGACTGCCCAGATTTGGAGCCTATTCTAAAACCCAGCCTGCTCTTGCCTTTAAGAAGGACAAAAATTCATCCAAAGGTGGCAAAAAGGCCCTGCTAGGCATTAGTGGTCTGAGGTCTGATATGACAGATCAAACCCTT